GTTCCCGGGGCCGGAGCGGGTCCCCTGGGAGAGCCGGGCCTGGAAGAGCTCGGCCCGGGCGGGACAGCGCCTCGCTCGCCTGGAGGCCGGAGTCGGACAGAGGCAGGGGGCTGGGAAGCGGGCTCGGCGGTGCCCCGAAATGACCGCGTCTCCCGTGCGCGGCGCTGGGCACATAGCCCCCTGTCGCCCACATGACCGTGTGACCTGGTTCTGAGAGGGAGTAGAGAATCCCATTGGCCTCGTGAGTAAAGTATGGGGAATAGAAAGGCATTTGGTAAGATAGTTTTCACGCTTGAATCTGAAAGAATTCCCCCCAAATATATAGAGGTGCCAGCGTTGTAAGAACGAGGCTCCCTGTTTACTGTGTGCTGCCTTGGACAGTTCCTGCCGCCCGTCGGAATCTGGCCGCGGGGCGGGCGGCGCCTCGGACTGGGTGGCTGCGGAGCATGCGCGGCCTCTGCAGCTCCGGTGGCACCGTCCCCTAGGGCGAGCTGGGGGCCAGGGGTTGTTCCAGCTGTTACGGGCTAGATAGCATCCCCCCAAATTCCACTGAAATTCTAACCCCCAGTAACCCTGAATGTGACCGTATTTGGAGATAGGGTCTTTAAAGAACTTTAAATTAAAATAGTATCGTTAGGGTGGACCTTAATCCTGTATCACTAGTGTCCTTCTAAGAAAAAGATAGAAGGACACAGATGCCCCCAGAGGGAAGACCATGTGAAAGCACAGGGAGAAGACAGCCGTCTGCAAGCCAAGGAGAGGCCTCAGGAGAAAACAACCCTGCCAACACCTTGATCTCAGATTTCCAGCCTTCAGAGCTGCAAAAAAATAACTTTTATTGTTTAAGCCCTTCAGTCTTTGATTGTGGCAGTTCCAGCAAAGTAATCGCCGTCTCTGGGCCTGAAGAGGTGATGGGAAGACACAAGTTCAGAAGAGAACAGCTGAAGAGAGAACCAGAGAAATGCACCAACCAGTGGTCACTCAGCAGGAGGGAGCTGGGGAAGTAAATACCCTGACCTTACTATCCCCCAGTATTTAATCTGCTGGTGCTTCCCACTGGTCAAAACCAGCTGAAGCCAGAAGGCAAAGAAGCCTGTTGATGCCCATGTAGATTAGCCTCTTAGGGCACCGGGCAGGATAGAGAGATGCGGAGCATCAAACAGAAACTGTATGTCATACCCCACACAATTTCAATCATCCTTTTAGTGCCCCTTTCATTTAGATAAGGCATAATGCTACAGAGTCACTATTAATTCAGTAAAGCTTTTTAGATGGATTTGTATTTAATTAAAGGATCTGCATACTTTCTCTAAGACAAGTTTCCCCTGACCTCTCAAGCCTCAGCGCAGTAATGGTCACATTAGCAGCAATAACTCAGATTTTGATGATTCCTGTACCCACCTGAATACTCAGGACCCCTCTTTTCACTCGTGTCCTTATTAAAGACCCTGGAGAGATCCCTTGCCATCATGTGAGGACACAGTGAAAAGATGCATCTATGAACCGGGAAGGGGGCTCTCACCAAACACTGAATCTGCCAGCATCTTGATCTTGGACTTCCCAGCCTCCAGACTGAGAAATAAATTTCTGTTGTTTATAAGCCACCCAATCTATGGTATTTTGTTATCAGCCTGAACAGACTAAGACAATATAAGAAATGGTGGAATTTGTAGTAACTTATTTGTAATACTCATTTACAAACTTAGATTTCTGGATGTCAGCCAAGACGCCTCCTTTCCTCCCTACATCTACTCAGTCCCCAAGTTCCGTTGTTTCTGCCCCTACCATTTACATACCTATCCCATGTTCTCCAACACCTCTGTTCGGTTGCCTTGGTTGTTGCAACCAGCCTCCTAGCTCCACTCCTTTCCCTACCCATGCATTTTCATGCAGTTGCCAGAGGGAACTGCTCAGGTCATGTCTCTCTCCTCTGCCTCAGACGCAGCTCTGCTGTATCCAGCCATTTTATTATCCTGCCCAATCTGATTTTTCTTCATCATTTCTGTCCTCTCCCTGGATGCCAATGCCCAAGATTTAAGAAACTACTTACTATTCTCCTATTTATGGTTTGCTGCAGTCAGTCCCTACTGTGTGCTTCTCTTCCCAAATGTCTTAGTCATCTGGGGCATAACAAAAACCATACACTAGGTGGCTTCAACAGCAGGTACTTATTTTCTCACTGCTCTGGGGGCTGGGAAGTCCAAGAGTAAGGGACCAGCTTATTCAGTTGTGGTGAGGACTCTCTTCCTGGCTTGCAGATAGTCAACTTCTCACTGTATTTTCACATGGTGGAGATTAAGACCTACCCCACTAGTAAGGCCTTATTTACTTTAAGTACTTCCTACAGACCCTGTCTCCAACACCATCACATTGGGGATTAGAGCTTCAACATGAATTTGGCAAGGTGGAGGCAGTTGTGGGGGATGAGGACACAATTCAGTCCACAGTCAACTCTGCCTTCGGTGACCTCACACTGGTAGCTTGAAATTGACCAGGTAGAAGTATTTACACTATAGGAATGGACAAAGGCTATGAACATAGGCTTTTGGTAGAAGGGAGACAGTTTATCTTTTCCCAGCATTCCTGTTATTCTTAGGCCTACCTATGTGACTTTGCGCATGGGTCTCTTGGCTTGGAATTCTATCACCCATTCCAAACTCAGCCCAAACTTTTTTTTTCCGAAGTTTTCCTTGACCTTCTAAACAGAATTAGGCCCTTGTATCTCCCCCATACCCCTAAACCACTATTTCCAATATCTCTAGATTAGCACTTCTGCTTCGGATTTTAATGTATTTTACTTAACAAGCACTTATAGAACCCTTACTGTGAGCTGGGTCTTGTCCTGGAGAATTTCACAAATACTAATTTAAATATGATCAGAATTGTCCTTGCCCCTTTACTTTAGTGTGAAGTATAAGAACCCTCCCCCCTCCCGCCCCCAGTTACAAAGCAAAAGGGCTAAGTTGACTTTCACTTTTCAGAACTTCAGGGTAACGACAACGTGCCGATTTGGTTCTCCATTCCCCATAAACATGGAAAACTAATTTTAAAAACTGTAGAACTATATTGGAAGTTCATTGAATATTGTGCAAAATTGATAGGCTTAAAATTGAGGTAAAAGCATATTAGAATTATGTTGGCAACCACTAGAAAAAGTAATGCTAAATATATGTTGAATAAATGAACAAATAATTTTAGAAGCAATGAACATATAAAACCATATAATTCCATTGAAATGTGTGTGTGCATGCATGTGTGCATGTATGTATGTGCCTGTGTGTGTGTGAGTTGTGGAGTACAGGGTGTGGGTGAGGAACTGTCTTCTCACTTTTGGGTCACACCTCTACCATGGTGCTCTGTGCCTTTATCTCTCTTAATCTCATTGTTTCATATATTCTGTCCAACTTTGTCTTTGCCCTGACTTTTTCTCAAATCCCTCCCCAATTAATTTTGGGCATTACTTTAGCCTGTCTTTTAGGGGCATTTTGGTACTCTCCAGCAAGTAGCTTGCTCTCCAAAACTGATTTTAAAAAGAAGAGAACAGATATGTATAAGCAAAACTCTGCTCAAAATTTGGAGAAGGTATGGGTTAATCTCAGTGTGCCCTGATTTGAGCAGGCTCCACTATTTCAGTGTAGTTTTACAATTAATGACCAGCATTGTAACTAACATCTGCAGTCACACGTTAAGGAGATTTTAAAGGGAATTGTGATGATTCTGAACCTATGAGGAGAAAAGTTATTGTTGATCTATTTTTCATATCAATGGAAACTGAGAATATTAAAGTAAAGAAGTTGACAATAGTAAGAATAACCTGAGGACATGGATATACCTGAGGATGGCTTATTCCAGATAAAATTCATGGAAAGAAAGAATCTGTGATCTTAGTATGTTGTACACTGTGAGGCAATTTTCACTTGGTTCATTATCAGCGCAGCTCCCTTTGCACAGTTGACTTTCAGAAAATACTGTTCCAACAAATGGCCATGAGAAGAAGCAGTGCACCAACTATGTAATGGCTTTTGGGTAATTTAATTTCAATAATGCATTTTATTGAGGAGCTACTATGAGTCAGGTGCTCTGTTGGATGTGGGGGACACAGAGGAGAGCAAGGCAGACAAGGTCCCTGCTCTTGTGGGACTTACATCCTAGCAGAGGGGAAAAACAATAAATGCATTAAACAAATAAAAATATGAAATAGTAAAAGCTATTAAGAAAAATAAAATTGGATAACATGTTAGAGAGTGACTGGGATGCCTCTTTAATAGGTGTGAAGTAGTAGCTGAAATAGGAGACATTTTGGCTACAATCTGAGTGACAGGCAGAAGATTTCTA